GAGCTACAATACACACACTTTCTAGATGATTAGGCACACGTGATCCTGCAGTCATAGTCCTGGAATTTGTGGATATTTTTTTTTTTTTTTTTTGAGACGGAGCTTTTGCTATTTGTGCCCAGGGCTGAAGATTGCAATGCGTGACTTGGTCACGGCACCCTCCCCTCCCAGGGTTCAGAGATTCTCCTGAGCTCAGTTCTCTGAGTTAGCTGGGGTTACTGGTGCCACCACCACACCAGCTAATTTTTACTTTGAGTAGAGACAGGGTTTTGCCCTGTTGACCAGCTGGTCTCGAATCCTGACTCAGGTGTCCCCGCCTTCCGGTCTCCCTAAGTGCTGGGATACAGGTTGGACCATGCGGCCGTCTTTTTTTTTTTTTTTGTTTTTTAAACAGTCTCTCTCTCCCGGGCTGGAGTGCAGTGGTGGTGTGGGCTACGTCACTGCACTCAATCTTGGGTGTCAAGTTATTCTCGGTGCGGTAGCTTTTTGAGCAGCTGGGGATTAGACATGCACAAATGTACTGGCTACTTTTGGTATTTTAGTAGGATGGGGTTTCACCGATGTTGGCCCAGTCTGGGTCTGACTCCTGACCTCAACGTGATCGCCACGCTATGGTTCCCAAAGGTGTGGCGGATTACAGGGTGGCCCTGTGACTGCCTGAATGGATCTTTTTTTGCTTTGTTTTTTTGAAGCAAGATCCGCTGCTGCCTAGCTGGAGTGCGTGGTGCAATCTCGGCTTTACTGCACCTCTGCTCCCAGTTCAAGAATTCTCTGCCTCAGGCCTCCGGAGTAGCTGGGTTACAGCGCCCACATCATGCCCAGCTAATTTTTGTATTTTTAGCAGAGATGGGGTTTCACCATCTTGGCCAGGCTGGTCTTGAACTCCTGACCTCGTGATCCACCCACCTCGGCCTCCCAAAGTGCTAGGATTAAAGGTGTGAACCACTGCACCCGGCCGGATGAAGCTTTATATGAGGAACAGTCCATGTAATTTGCTGCAGTCTCCTCCATTCCCTAGTATTCAAGACAGCATTTCTTTACCAATTATGTTTCCCTCCAGCCCCATAGTTTTACACCTAGGGACACTAGCTCACTGAATTTTGTGTTTCAAGGGACACAGCGCCTTCACAGGACCTCATTAAGGGATTCTAAACATTGCAGGGCATTATGTGATATCCTCAATCAACAAGAAAAACTTTGTGTTGTCTCCAGAAACAATGGAAGTTGTCACAACTGCCCCCTCTGCAGAATGACCTCGGAGCCCACATGCAGGCAAAAATCAGAACCAGAAAGCCCTGCAGTGTCTCCTAGAAAGCCTTGGTAGCAATGCAGAATAGGCCAAAAATGGAGCAAAAGCTATATTCTGTCAGCATACCGTCCCATCTGAGGCAAACAAAATTTGAATCCCCACAAATGTTATATACCCTTTTAAGCTGACAGAGTCCTATTATGTCTCCAAACGACTCCACAGTTAATACAACTTACAAGATTAAAGGTACTTAAACAAAAGGCCTTTATCATTGCACAAGCCAGTTAACAGGCAGTTCCTGGTACGTGGTGGAAGCTAAAAAACGCTTCATCACAAGCATTGCCTGAGATCAACAATGTCCTCAAAAAAGGCAATCCTCTGGAAGCTGCCAGCAGAATTCAGGTCAGGTCCTGGGGCCAACAATGGGGTAGTTACATGCACTATGTAGCCAGAGGAGGAAATGAGAAATCCCCCTAAGAGCTTAGACTACTCATACTTTCCTCCAACTAATGGAAGAAGTCTGCCTCCCTGAGCATGCTGGGGTGGTGACTGATGCACACTCTGTGGGTCTCCCAGGGGGTAGAGATGAAAAGGCTTCAGCCACAGAAACTGGCAGTGATATGAATCTGGTAAGGTCCCTGGGCAGGTTTAGAGAGTACAACATAGCTACACATGCTTCCCACATACCTCAGATTTATGGGGAATCCATAGATGTTTGGATACATGAGTCACATCAGGAGAAGGCTCTTCTCAAAGGCTAGCCTCCAGCGCCATCATACCAAATTAAAACAAACAAACAAACAAACAAAAAACTCACAAATTCACAGCATATATAAGGCCTTTCTTCTTTGGGAAATCTTGTGTTAAATGTGACAACACAAGCTGGGCATGGTGGCTTACGCCTGTAATCCCAGCACTTTGGGAGGCCGAAGCATGTGGATCACCTGAGGTCAGGAGTTCAAGACCAGCCCGACCAACATGGTGAAACCTTGTTTCTACGAAAAATACAAAAATTAGCTGGGCATGGCGGCAGGTGCCTGTAATCTCAGGTACTCAGGAGGCTGTGGCAGGAGAATCACCTGATTCCAGGAGGCGGGGGTTGCAGTGAGCCCAGATTGCACCATTGTACTCCAGCCAGGGTGATAAGAGCGAAATTCCATCTCAAAAAAAAAAAGTGACAAAATAATTTCCCACATTCACTGCACATGAACTCTTCTGTGTCTTAAGAGGCCAGAGCTTTGGCTAAAGGATTTCCCACATTCACTGCATTCATAAGGCCTTTCTCCAGTGTGAACTCTCTTGTGTTGAATGAGGTGATTTTTGCGGGTAAAAGATTTCCCACATTCGCTGCACTCATAAGGCCTTTCTCCAGTGTGAACTCTCCTATGCTGAAGGAGGGCAGAGCTTTGGCTATAGGATTTCCCACATTCATTGCACTCATAAGGCCTTTCATTAGTGTGAACGGTCTGGTGTCGAATGAGGTGGGTTTTTCGGATAAAAGATTTCCCACATACACTGCACTCATAAGGCCTTTCTCCAGTGTGAACTGTCTGGTGCCGAATGAGGTCAGTTTTGCAACTAAATGATTTTTCACATTCACTGCACTCATAAGGCTTTGTTTTAGTGTGAGCTCTTCTGTGTCGAAAGAGGCCAGAGCTTTGGCTAAAATCTTTCCCACATTCACTGCACTCATAAGGCCTTTCTCCAGTGTGAACTCTTTGGTGTTGAACGAGGACAGATTTCTGGCCAAATGATTTCCCACATTCACTGCACACATAAGGCCTTTCTCCAGTGTGAAATCTTTGGTGGTGAATGAGGTAGATATTGCAACTAAATGATTTCCCACATTCACTACACTCATAAGGCCTTGCTCCAGTGTGAACTCTCCGGTGTCGAAAGAGGTTAGTGCTATGGCTAAAGGATTTTCCACATTCACTGCACTCATAAGGCCTTGTGCTAGTGTGGGCACTCCTGTGACGATAGAGGTTAGTGCTGTGGCTAAAAGATTTCCCACACTCACTGCATTCATAAGGCCTTTCTCCAGTGTGAACTCGTTGATGTTGAATGAGGACAGATATCTGGCGAAAGGATTTGCCACATTCACTGCAGTCATAAGGCCTTTCTCCAGTGTGAACTCTTTGGTGTTGAGTTAGGTGACTTTTGCGACTAAATGACTTCCCACATTCACTACATTCATGAGTGCTTGTTCTATTGTGTGCTTTCCTGTGTCGAAGAAAGCCAGAACTTTGACTGAAGGATTTCCCACATTCACTGCACTCGTAAGGCCTTTCTCCAGAGTCAGCTCTTTGGTGTTGAATGAATACAGAGTTCTCTCTAAAAGATTTCCTGGATTCAGTGTATTTGAGAGGCTTTTGTCCAGTGGGAACTCTGAAGTGTCGAATCCTGCTGTGTGGTCTCTCACTGCTGGGAGTCACCTGAAGCTGGAAAAGTCCTGAGGTGGCTGAAAAGTCCCTCCCAACTTCCCCAAACATGAAGGGTTTTCCTGACACATGGAACCTGTAGTTCATCATAAATGAGGCCTGGTCCCCATCCATTTCAAAGAGCTTCTCTCCATTATCAAGCTTCTGGAGCTGGTGAAGGTTTGAATTCATCCAGAAATCTGATGCCCCACCCAAGTACAATTTCTGTCCACAGGGTGAGGCTTTGAGCTCAATCATTTGTAAAATGTCTCTCAGGACTGGGGTACAAATCTCACAGGGGTGACTCTTATCAGTGGATGTATCTGCCTTTGGAGTCCTGCCCTGTGACAGTTCTGCCACAGAAATGCTCTCTGCAGAAGGTGCCCCCTCATCTTCTGCTCCACACCAACAACCTGAAAGAAGAGAAATGCTGAGAAAATGCAGGTTCACTATGGTGTGAGAAGTTACATCAAAAATGTGTGTCAGACAAAGAATGAGTCTAAGAAAATGTTCTTAGGATACGAGAGCTGGTGGCAATTTGGGGAAAAAGGGCTCTACAAGTCACAGAAAACAAGGGAGGCCTTATGAGATGAAAGACACAAAGTTGGGGCACAACTCAGAGAGAAGAGGTAGGGTCTCTGACTCACTATTCTTCCAGAAGCTTTTATCAGGACCTCCTCCCCTGATGAGAAGAGAGGACTTCAGTATACTGCACAGATTATTGGTGTCCAGGCCCAGGAGAAACCCACGGGAACTGAATACTAGGTGTGGAAGGACTATTTAAAAACATGTGCACAACATATTACATGTGGGTCAGTGTTAGAGAACACTCAGAAGTTGCACTGGGAAGGAACAGGTAACACATGGAGGCCAGAAATTGGGAGCAGCTAAGGGCTGGAAGTCATGGATGAAATAAAAATTAGAACATGTGTAGAAAATAAAAAAAAAGGCCGGGCGCTGTGGCTCATGCCTGTAATCCCAGCACTTTGGGAGGCTGAGGTGGGCGGATCACGAGGTCAGGAGATCTAGATCATCCTGGCTAACATGGTGAAACCCCAGCTAACATGGTGAAACCCTGTCTTTACTGAAAATACAAAAAAATAGCCAGGCGTGGTGGTGGGTGCCTGTAGTCCCAGTTACTCGGGGGGCTGAGGCAGGAGAATGGCGTGAACTCAGGAGGCGGAGCTTGCAGTGAGCAGAGATAACACCACTGCACTCCACCCTGGGCAACAGAGTGAGACTCTGTCTCAAAAAAAAAAGAAAAGGAAAAAAAGATAGAAATGATGTATGTCCTATGGAATTGGCACCCAATCACTGAGAACTCAGGACAGGTTTATGGCGTGATTAGAAACAGCCCTAGCGTCTTGCCCTCCCTTAGTTGTCACTCATCAGGGCCAGGACTCCTCTGAGAGTATCTTGCTATTTGCACCCCATAAAGCAACCAGAGCCATCCCCCAATTCCAGTTGTGCAACTATACCGGGCCTGTAAGATGCAAGCCCTAAAGGGTAGACCAGAGAGGTGCACAGCCAACACTGGCACAGAGCAACTCAGCACATGACAAACTACAGCAGTGAAAAATAATGTTACAAGAAAATCTTTTAGGTGGATCTTTATGAAAAGCCTATGGACCAATTAGTAGTTACCATCATGATGCCTGCAATTATTGAAACAGGCAGCTTGAGATTTTAGTTAGAAGCAAAAGGCAGAACACGGAACAGCATCCTAGAAGTGGACAAAGCCATCCTGTCATGGAGAAGGCAAGGACAAATCCTTTAGGTTGAAAGAAAGATCCTGTCTCCCAGACCCTTCACAGCACGCCTAGAGGCAATAGGTGTTAGGATAGTCTGGAGAGTGCCTTGCTTGGTGATGTCCCCCAGAATACATACGCCAAGAAAGTGGGAAGGTCTGTAGAGCTCAGGGTCTAACTGAAGAAAGGACAGAGCTGCCTCAGGGACAGGGGAAAAGGAGAGACCCACAAAAGACACTGGGAGGAATAGGAGAGCCTTACCTAGGGATGCCATAACTGCAAAGTTCTCCAGCATCACATCGTGGTACAGGAGCCTCTGCATCTCATCAAGGAGCTCCCACTCCTCCTGGGAGAAGTGAATGGCCACATCCTCAAAGGCTACAAAACCCTGCTATGATGGGGACAGTTCATTCCATGATCAGCATCTTTCCTAGGACCCCAAGTTGATTCCCCCACAGGTCCATCCCTGGCTCACCCTCCTCCCCATCTCCCCACCTCAGAGAATATGTCCATCCCCCACACGTTGATTCCCCCCACGTCCATCCCTGGCTCACCCTCCTCCCCATCTCCCCATCTCAGGAAATACAACAGGCCCTGATGCCACTGATGCCCACTCTCTCCTCATGGTCCCATTGGTCACTATGTTCTCCCACAGCAACAACAGGCAGGTGGACAGATAGAAACCACATTCTCGTGTCTATAAATTCTCCTGGAATCCCTCAGACCATGGCTCCCAAACACAACTGAAGGTCTGGGTTCACATTTCGCTCTCATGTCCTCAATGTCCAGACTCATGAAACAAAAGCTCACACTCCCTCTTCATATGTGCATCACTCTTTCCACCACACCTCTCTCACCCAACTCACTCCCTCAGCCACCTCCACCCCGATCCCACAACACAGGCATCTCTCCTGCCTTCCTATATGTTACTCAGCACAAGACATCTAGAAAGTGCTTGCAAATTCAAACGAGTTCCAGGACTACCCAGACCTCTGATGGTCCCTACTGCCACAGGTAGCCCCATATCCTGCTCTGAAGCCCTCCCTACCTGAGTCTATTCCTTTCATCAACCTCAGTTACCCAGAACCACATACATATGTCAGATACACATGGCCCTTTCCAACTTGTATTGCACTAAACAGTAACTGCCTTCCTCTCTTGCTACCCTTCATTCCAGTGGCCCTCCACCCAAGGTTAAGTGATGCTCCCAGATGACTACTTCTGCCCCTAAACTTATCCACCAGCCTGCATGAAACTCCGTAGGCATAGGAGCAGTCATAAGATCCTGGTGAGGCCATAGAGCAGTAAAGCATGAGGTCTGGCTTCAGCCTCCTCTTGTCTGAAATCCCACTAGGTCTCTAATATGGTTTGGCTGTGTCTCCACCCAAATCTCATCTTGAATTGTAACTCCCACAATTCCTATGTGTCATGGGAGGGATCCAGTAGGAGGTAACTGAATCATGGGGGTGGGTCTTTCTTGTGCTGTTCTCGCAATAGTGAATAAGTCTCACGAGAACTGATGGTTTTAAGGCCGGTCGCAGTGGCTCATGCCTCTAATCCCAGAACTTTGGGAGGCCAAGGCAGGCGGATCACTTGAGGTCAGGAGTTTGAGACCAGCCTGGCCAATGTGGTGAAACCCTGTCTCTACTAAAAATACGAAAACTAGCCAGGTGTGGTGGCGCACACCTGTAATCCCAGCTACTCGGGAGGCTGAGACAGGAGAATCCCTTGAGTCCAGAAGGTGGAGGCTGTAGGGAGCTGAGATCTCACCACTGTCCTCCAGCCTGGGAGCAGAGCAAGACTTCATCTCAAAAAAAAAAAGAACTGATGGTTTTAAAAAGAGGAGTTCCCCTGCACAAACTCTCTTTTTGCCTGCTGCCATCCATGTAAGATGTGACTTGCTCCTCCTTGCTTTCCACCATGACTGTGAGGCCTCCCCAGCCATGTGGAACTGTAAGTCCATTAAACCTCTTTTTCTTCCCAGTATCAGGTATGTCTTTATCAGTAGCATGAAAACGGACTACTGCAGCCTCCACATCCATCTTATGTTCACTCATCCTTCATAAACCTGGCCACCTGCCTGGTATCCTCTCTCTATATTATTCCTAGGCCCACTTCCCTCTATAACCTGTGTTTGTGATTTCCACAACATCCATCCAGATACCCAAGTATGGTACCCTCTTGTGGCTCCCACGCCTCCCTTTCCTGGGCCTGCTATTAATACTATCATCATGACCCGAAATCCCACTACTAAATGGGATCTATGATGTTACGGGCTCAAGTTTCTGCCCCACGCCCACCCACAAAATGCTTATGTTGAAGCGCTAACACAATGAAGCGTAATATAGTGTGATAGTATTTGGAGATGGAATATTTGGGTGGTAATTAGATTTAGATTAGGTCAAAAGAGCCCTCACGATGGAATTAATGCTTTTGTAAGAATAGAAAGAGATTCTTTGCTTTCTTCACATACTCCCTCCCAGGAAAGGCCATGTGAGGACAAAGCAAGAAGGCAGCCACTGCAAGCCAAGAAGCAGCCCATCACAAATAAGTGAATCTATAGGCACCCTGATGTAGAATTTCCTAGCCTGAAGAACTGTGAGAAACACATTTTTGCTGTTTAAGCCACCAATATAGGCTATTTCATTATCAACCCAAGGTAAGGCACTGATATAGCCTGGATATTTGTCCCCTTCAAATCTCACCTGGAAATATGATCCCCAATGTTGGAAGTGGGGCCTAGTGGGAGGTTATCTGGGTCATGGAGGTGGATCCCTCATGAATGGCATAGTATCCTCCCCACAGTAATAAGTTCACATGAGACCTGGTCGCTAAAAAGAGACTGGTGCCTCCCTTCTGTCTTGCTGGCTCCCTTTTTGCCTTCTGCAATGAATGGAAGCTTCCTGAGGCTCTCACCAGAAGTGGACACTAGCACTAAGCTTCCTGTACAGCCTGCAGAACTATAAGCTGTAATAAACCTTGTTTCTTTATAAACTACCCAGCCTTAGGTATTTTTTTATAGTAATGCAAATGGCCTAACAGACATAGGGCTCCATCCTAGTTCAATACTATCCTCCACTCTTTGTAGAAGTTTCTATCCTGCACCCCTCCTCAGAGTCCAAGACCTGTGTGTCCATTTAGCCACTTGATACAGCTACTTACTTATTCTCTAAAACATTTCATATTTTTAACATGGACAAAACACAATCCTGATATCCTGAGTGAAAAATAATCCTACTATCTACTTGGCTCTCCCAGTAGATGGAGCTTCTATGCTTCCAGTTGCTAAACCCAAAAAGCCTTGAATCATCCCTTTTTCTCTCTCAGTCCCAATACCAGAAAATCAGAGCCGACTTACAATCCAAAATTCAACCATTTCTACCACACTGTGGCCACTACTCTGGCCCACATCATCTACACTTGCCTGGACTATTGCATTAGTCTCCTCTTTCCTCTTTGGTATTGCTACCAACTCGCTTAAACCCACAGTCTGTTGTCTGTGCTCAGCCACAGGAGCCTCATGAGGCCTGGGGAAGATCACTTCCCTCTTCTGCTCCAAATCTTCGCTGCTGCCATCATCTCCAGAACAAAGACATCCGATACAGTCATTTAGTTTCTAGCTCCTGTACCTCTGCTCTCTGTTCCCATGAGAAGGAAATGAGACTTGAGGTTCTCTTAACCAGCTCAGCCCCACTCCAAGCAGCTCCAAACACCTGTACTTATCTCTGGGACGAACTTCCACATTCATTCTATTATTTGCCAGCAACAGGTACCACCTCATAGAATACCCACCCTGGGCATATTTTGTTCAGAGTCCCTAGGCTCAAAGCCTGGAAAAGCGGTAAGTAAGGAATCCCAGGTCACCACAGTCCCAGTCCCAGAGATCCCGTTGCTGGAATCAGTGAGGTTCTGGATTTCCTCCACTCACCCTTGTAGTGTCTGTAAGTTCTTCTTACAGACCTATAAGTATTAGTGGCAATCTGTGGGACGAGACATGTTCTGAGAGGCAGGTGACCACATTGCGGCTCCATGGGCTTCTGGTTCCAATGTGTAACACCAGAGCCAGGTGTCCTGGGATGACTGCTTTATATCTGGGCGTCAGTCCTTGGTGCTGACTTTTATCAGCTTTGTGACCTCGTAAAAAGACCAGGTCCCTCCACGCCTGCTATCATCACTGCCCTTCCAGTGAGTTCCTCTGAACAGCTTTTGTGAAACTTTTAGAAGCGTGACTGGGGCCGTGCCCCTTTTCTGTCCTACGCGCTGTGGCCCTCAGTGTGCTGGTGAAACTCAGTGGGGCCAATGCAGCGTGGCGCTGCCCCACCCTCTGCTCCCTGCACGCGTGAGGCCGGCCTGGGTCTCCCCTGCCTACTGGCTCAGGCGCAGCTCCAAGCCGTCGCTCTCCCGCTCCCTGCTACGCTACCAGAAACGAGACCCAGTACCACAGCCTCACTGTGCTGGACAACGCGGTCTGGCTGCAGAAAACCCTTCACGCGCCCCTCAGTTTCGGGTGGGGAGGGCGGAGGAGGCCGGGAGGACGCAGCGCTCACCAGGGTCGGGGCCCTCATTGCCGCCGCCATCGGACTCTGGGCGCAGCGGGCCGGGAGCGGTGGACGATCCGGGCGGGGACACGAGCAAAGCAATCACCACCGCCGGCGACCGTCAGGCCCCGGCTGTGCAGCTGGGAAAACCACTCTCCTCGCGCCTTCTCGCTGTCAGCACCTGGGTCCAGATCCGGCACCCGCGGATGGAACTGACACAAGCCAAAGTGCCCGCCACTGGGAGGACGCCGGAAGTCCCGCCCAGACAAGTTGGGCAGAGCGGAAAAGTCCCTCCCCTGGGACGCATTGGCTCCACGCCAAGTGCCTGGCGCACGGGCCTCTGGGTAATGTAGTTCTCACCGCTTCCTGGGCTGGCAGAGCTTGCTCTTCTCCTGGACCTCAGGGAGGAATAGCCCCGTGCTATGGAGGAGAAGCCTGAGAGGTGGTGTCTCCAGCCTCCTTGGACCAGGGAGGAGCTTCGCTGCTGTAAGGTACCATACAGAGATTTTTGGAGAGTATTGTGTACAACTAGTCACCTAGGTAGTCAGAATCATTCAGATACAAAATGCCTCTATCCATGGTGAGAACCTAGTAAACATTACCTTCTTTCTCCACACATTTATGTAGAGTAGAACGTTAGAGTCAGCTTTGTGAATTTCATTATGCTCAGTAAGGAATGAGGGAAATAGAGTTTACATAGAGCCACGACAGGAATGATAAAACATCCGTTAGATCGCACCAAAGCAGGTGGACGAAAGTGGAATTCTGTCTCTGGTTCTCACAGAAAATGCCTCTCCTGCCTGTGTAATCAGTAAGTGTGTCTAACCCTGTAAGGAACAGTGTTTTATTCATATAATATTTCTTCCTGCATATTCTTAGATATGCTTCTTTTAGGATTGTAGCAACTTTCTAAACAGAAGAGCCACTTAGCATATGTCATTTTAAAGTAGAACAGTGTCTGTAGTGTTCACAGTCCGAGCACTTGTGCAAAGGGGACACCAGAATGCCAGAATAAAGGTTAGGGACACCTAGCTTTCATCTCTTTGATGGGAAATTTTGATCATTGATACTGTTACTGCAGGGACAGTGCCTGCAAGGAGAGTTAAGATTATCTCAGAAAAACAGTTGTGAAATGAAAATTGCTGAAAGCCATTGTGTTAGGATTCTCCAGAGAAACACAGAACCAACAGGGTACATAGATGTACAAGAGGGGATTTATTATGGGAATTGGCTCATCCAGTTATGGAGACTAAGAAGTCTCAGGATATGCCTTTTGCAACCTGGTAAATCACGAGGTTGGGTGATATTCAGTCTGCATCTGAAGGCCTGAAAACCAAGGGAGCCTATGGTGAAATTCCCAGTTGGAGGCTGAAGGCCTGAGAACTGGGTGAGGGTCATTCTTGTATGTTCCAGAGTCCAAAGGCCCAAAATCCAAGAACTTTAATGTTGGAAAGCAGAAGAAGGTGGATGACCCAGGACAAGGAGAGAGTAAGTTGCTCTTTCTCTGCCTTTTTGTTCTATTTGGGCTCTCAAAGCATTGGATGTTGCCCCCTAACACTGATGAGGCCAGATCTCCTTTACGGTGGCTACAGACTCAAATGCTAGTATCTTCCATAAACATTCTCACAGACACATCCTATACCAAGGTTTTCCCAACTATTTCGGTAGCCCTTAATGCAGGCAAGTTGGCACAAAACATTAAACATCACAACTATTAATAATCTTGTGGCTAGGCCGGGTGTGGTGGCTCATGCCTGTAATCCCAGCACTTTAGGAGGCCGAGGCAGGCTGATCATGAGGGCAAGAGATCAAGACCAGCCTGGCGTCCCAGTTGGTTTGAGCCCATCTCCATTAAATACCAAAATTGCCGGCGCGGTGGCTCAAGCCTGTAATCCGCACTTTGGAAGGCCGAGACCGGCGCGGATCACGGCCAGGAGATCGAGCCATCCTGGTACAGGTGAACCCGTCTTACTAAAAAATTACAAAATAGCCGTCCAGGCGAGGATGGCGGCGGCTGTGTCCCAGGCTACTTTCGGGGAGGCTAGAGCAGGAATGACGTTAAAAACCCCGCGGCGTTGCAGGTGGCTGGAGATCCGGCCATGCACTGCAGCCTGGGCCACGGTGACTCCGCTCCAAAAAAAAAAACAAAGATACACAATTAGCTGGTGTGGTGGCACACACCTGTAGTTCCAGCTACTTGGGAGACTGAGGCAGGGGAATCGCTTGAACCCAGGAGGTGGAGATTGCAGTGAGCCGAGTCACGCCACTGCACTCCAGCCTGGTGACAGAGCGAGTCTTCGTCTCAGGAAAAAAAAAAAAAGAATATTGAACATAATTAATTGAACTGAACATGACTTACTTTGCCTTTTTAGTGCACTTATATAAGTTATTGAGTACATTTGGCTTGCTCTGGAAAGTTTACCCTGAAGACATGTAGAGCAGTAGCTTTATCGTTGCTGAATTGAAGTCCTGTTGAAAAGAAAGGGGGAGGTCTGGCTCCAGCATGATTCAGTATGAAAGTAAGTGGGAGGAGCTCTTCTGAGTACTCCACAAAGGACCTCATTTTTGTCTGCTATTTTGAGTGTCTAATGGTAATTTTTTTTTTTTTTTTTTGAGGAAGAGTCTTGCTCTGTTGCCCGGCTGGAGTGCCAGGTGGCAGGTATATTCATTACTTTGCGCTCAAACTTCTGGGGGCTTCAGCGCGATTCTGTATCAGCTTCCTTGGAGTGTATGGGATTGCATGGCATCACTACTGTGCCCAGCTAATTAAAAAATATATATTATATTTATTTTCAGACGGGGTCTTGTTGTGGCCCAGGCTTAGTTAAAGTTCTGGTTCTCAGATTGATCTCCGGCTCAGCTTCCCCAAGTAGGGCTGGGGCTACAGGTACACACAGCTTTATGGCAATGTTCTTAGGCTAATAGTAAAATTAGGGAAATAGTAAGCTTGAAAGCGTGCCAGAAAATCTGTATATTTACTTGTTTTTGTTGTTTAAGCGTAGATAAATTAACTGGGCTGCTCACTGGAATAACTGGCTTACAAATTCATATTTTGTTAAATGATTTCTCCTTGGGTTATACAAATACATACACAGCACAAACATTGCCTAATAATATTTAAACTGCATTGTACAAATTAGTTTAATTTACATTTTTTTTTGAGACATTAGTCTCACTCTGTCATCCAGGCTGGAGCATGGCAGTGGCACAATCTGAGTCGACTGCTACGCTTGAATTCCTGGGGTTCAAGCAATCCTCCCACGTCGCCTCCAGAGTAGCTGGAAACACAGGTTGGCCAACCTGTACCACTATGCCCGGATAATTTTTTTTTGATTTTTTTAGGGACGGGGTCTCACCATGTTGCCTTCAGCTGGTAAATGTGTTGTTTGTTTGTTGTTTTGTTTGTTTGTTTGAGGCGGATCTGCTCTGTCGCCAGGCTGGTGCAGTGGCGCGGATGCTCAGCTCTCCTGAAGCTCGTAGCCTCCCAGGTTTACGCCATTCTCCTGCTCAGGCTTCCGATTCGCTGGGACTACAGGCGCCCGCCACCTCGCCTGGCTGAGTGTTTTTTGATTTTTACGTGAGAGCAGGGTTTCACTCGTAGTTAGGCCAGGATGGTTCTTGGGATTCTCCTGACCTCGTGATCCGCCCGTCTCGGCCTCCCAAAGTGCTGGGATTACAGGCTTGAGCCACCGCGCCCGGCCATAAAGTTTTAATAGATTATTTTTTAGATCAGTTTTGGTTCATAGGAAAATTGAGCAAAAAATTACAGAGCTTCCACATATCCCTTGCCCCTATGCATGTACAGCCTCTCCACTATAAACATTCCCCACTAGAATAGTATATTTGTTACAATTTATGGTACATTGGCATATAGTTATCATCCCAAATCTATAGTTTACATTAGGATTTACTCTAGCTGGACGTTATATGGGTTTTAACAAGTGTATAGTGACTTGTACACACCATGGTAGTATCACAGAGTAGTTTCACTGCCCTAAAAGTCTTCCATGCTCCACCTGTTCATCCCTTCCTCCCTTAGCCCAAGCCCCTGGCAACCACTCACTTTTTACTGTCTCCATAGTTTTGCTTTTTCTGGAATGTCATATAGTTCAAATCACAGTATGTAGTCCTTTTAGTTTGGATCCTTTAATAGTCCATTTTTGTGCTGCTGAAAAAGACATACCCAAGACTGGGCAATTCACAAAGGAAAGAGGTTTAATGGAGAACTCACAGTTCCACATGGCTGGGGAAGCCTCACAATTAATGAAGAAGGCAAGGAGAAGCAAGTCATATCCTAGGTGGATGGCAGCAGGCAAAGAGAATAAGCTTGTGCAGGTAAACTCCTGTTTTTAAAGACATCAGATCTCGTGAGACTAATTTACTGTCATGAGAACAGCGGGGGAAAAACCCACCCCTATAATTCAATCACCTCCCACTGGGTTCCTCCCATGACATGTGGGAGTTACAATTCAAGATGAGATTTGAGTAGGGACACAGCCAAACCATATCAGATCCCTTCACTTAGAAATATGTATTTAAGATTCTTCCACATCTTTTATTATTTATTTTAATGTGGATAAATATACCATTTTCTAGATGTACCACACTTATCTATTCACTTACTGAAGGACATTTTGGTTGCTACCAAATTTTGCCAATTATGAACAAAGGTGCTATAAATATTCATGTACAAGATTTTGTGTGGACATAAGTGTTTAACTCATTTGAGTAAACCAAGAAGCACTATTACTGGATCTATGGTAATTGTTTTGGCATTGTTTCACATTTCAAATCAGTTGAGAAACTTTCTCAGATGTCTTAGAGGAAGCAAAAACAAAGTGCTTCTTCCTTTTTTTCTTTTTCAATAATCTCTAAGCCTCCAGATGTCTGTGAATGTCACCCTGTGAATAGACACACATATACACACAACACAGTCACACACTGCGTAAGTGTGTTACTATTGCACACCTATCTGCAGGACCAGAGTTCAATTACCCATTTCCTTAATATCTAGTGCACAGGAATATGGAGAAAGGGGCAGCATATTAAATGACATCAGAGAGACACAAAACAAAACAAAACAAAAACACACACCATTCCAGAATGTGGCAAATTCTGGACAAATGTCTCATCAACTTCAAGAATAACAATAAAAAGTGGTAGCTATATATTATTATAGACTCACCAAATGAAACTATTAATAGCCATATAGATTCGTTTTGGATCTGATTGCAATGAATTTGTCTTAAAAATCAATTTTGGAGACAATTCGAGGCAACTGAGCACTGATGATATATTTTATGATGCCTTAAATAATGATTGATAAAGTTATAGGAATTATGAAAGAGCTCTTATGCTTGGAAATGCATTCTGAAGAGATGCAGCATTGAATGACAAGATGTGGGAATTGTAAGTAAAATAATTATGTGTGAAAAGAGTTGAAACAAGAACAGCTACTAAATGATAAGTAATATGGATGATTTA